CCCACCTTCCCAATGCCAGAGAGTGAAAATGAATAAGCTGTAGGCAGTTTATTTCCCGCACTTGGCGAAAAGCCGAGTTTAATTTTAATAAGTAACTGTTGTTGCCGCGAATTGTACAGTAGCGTTGCTCTCGTACTTGCGCTTGGGGATTCCACTTTGTCAGCGAGGTGCTCAGTTGCTCCACGGTTCGTTCATTGGTGTTTCGGCGGCAAACTGGTACTGGTGTGTGCTGGAGAATTAAACCCAGCATCAGTTTGCTTGTCACGTAAATGACCGGGTTCAAAATTTTGATGCCCTACCCTCGTTAAAGTTTTGCTATCTTAGTAATCTCTGATCCCTGGGTATAAAAGCACTCCTCCCCATTCCCCGAGATGCCATAGCTAGTTCAACCTCATTAGAAGCTATTCTCTTGTTACCTCTGTTCTGGACTTCGGCTTATTTTACGTATTTATAAATATGCATATATGACTAGGTGTCTTTCGCATACACATACACTTATGTACAGGGTATGCCACTAGTCTAAAATATTAATCTTTAGGGTCGCGATATGCTTCTCCGTAACCCGGAAGCCACCGCCAGCTTTGCCAGTGGTCGCTTATTCTTGGCGCGCGCCCCCCCGCTTGGGCTGCCTCGAGTGCTATTGGGACGGACTTTCACCGCACCTCATCTCAGTAGCATCCGGTGTTCCTGCACGCTGCACAGCTCATCGCGGCTCTTACGACGATAGGTGGGATGAAGTGGTTCCTTGGGTCGGCCAGCAGTTATTCTAGGTTGTTTCATTTTGTTTCCGGCGAGCTACTTGTGAGGTCCTTGATGGATCGGGATGTATTTCGCCTTCAACTTTGCTCCGAGGAGGGAGGGGGAGGGGGGGTGGGGGGTTGCCCGAGCTCCCGACGTTTTTTCTGTCGCCTTCTACCGAAGCATTTCATCCCTCACGAATCATTTAAAAGCTTTTTTGTAGTGCCACTAAGAACAAGCGATGCGAAAAGTTCTCCGTCTCTCCAGCAGTCCCAGCTGTTCTTTTCTTATGGAGCAGTGCCAGATCCTCAGCTGAGATTTCTTCATCGCTTGGCCCGGCTGCGATCTTTGATCTCATCTTGTGTTCTGCACTTCCTCAGAAGGCGACAGAGCGCGGGGCTTGCTATTCCAATGGTACTGGTGTGTGCCAGAGAGGCCATCTGCTTGTTTCAGAGCAAACCTCTCGTCAGAGAGCGGAGTCATCGCCACTGTCGGGGGAGGGGGTGCTTGCTCAAAGCCTGTCTGTCAGTGTAGGCTTCCGCCTCTGTTGTCCTCATCCGTCCAGAAAAGTCAAATTGGGAAAGAAAGTAGTAAAATTGAAGTGAACTTAAACTAATCTAAATGGCCGGCACTGCTTCCAGTGTGTTTTCATTAATTATCAGAATTCAACTGTGTTCCTCTTCTCCCCATAGTGGGCCAGCAACGGCAAGCAGAGTGCATATTGTTAGCACATAGACGCAATTTCAGGCCACCGTCCTCTTCCAGTCTTCTAGCCAGCGATATTCACTGTTTGCATCTTTAAAATTTCTACAGCACTTAGTTGTAAATTTGGAGGTCTCAAGTAAAAAAATTGCTGATTCTGAGTAGTTTCATGTCGGGCGGAGGGACTCGTCACAGTTGAGTCTCATGTGCCACTTGGAGCAGCGCGCTTCTTTTTGGCACTCAATTCGGCTGCGAAATAATTCATCCAGAGATGGCGTGTTGGCGCCAGTGGAACCCGAATTACTTCTCGTTATGCGGAAAAAGTCGTTTTTTTAGACTCGAAATTTCACCAGCACAGCGCGTACTTTTTTTTTCAGGCACTCGTGCTGTGCCGCAGACTGGGCACCACTGGACCAGAGGCGCAAGGAATGCTGCTCAGCAAATCTCCGCGCCAAAAAATGCACCGTCCACGTCAGCGCCAGCCCAATCCCCGTAATTTCCCGAACAGGTATTTTCTGCTGCAGTTTGCATCTGAAATTCCTAAAATATGCCTTCCTTCCATGTCGCAGTGCTTGTGTTCATTTCCTGTTTTACAAAGCAAAGAGATTTGAGTTTGACCTGAAAAATCAGCGCACCGAAAACGAAGATGATGCATAGTGTCGGTGTGCCGGCCGCAAAATGCCCGTGGTCGATGTTCAGTTGAAAAAAGTTGTCTGTTAAAAGTGTGCTTCTTGATATTCTCATGCTGGCGATTACATATTTTCGACGTTTGTGCAGATTGCACAGCATCGTGATGAATCGAAAGGCCGTTAGTGTTAGTCATGATGGCAGCGTTAAGGTCGCTGGCGAATAGGGGAATGCTTCATTCATCAGAGGTTTTTTTGGGACATTAGCGGGATGATAGATCGATGATC